TCCGATTCAGTGTAGTGGTTTCCCCCCAAAAAAGAGCAAAAGTATATATCCTTTAGAAATCCATGGATGACAATATATACCGGCTATAGAAAAGCCACCACGAGAGACAGTAAAAAAAGACTTACTGCACGGTTCCGTCTTCCACCATTAGAGCTAACGACCATCGTAAGTCGTTACGTACACCGATCGAACTATGCTAGAATGCACTTCGCGGAGCATATCCCATGTATAGCCGAACATTATTATGATCGTATGGTCTACGGATTCAATGCATGATGGACACATTCAAGATGACATTCCGTGGATCGGTAAAAGAGGAACGAGCGCTTTGAGAAAAAAATCTTAATTCCGCAATCTAAATGCATCCGGTGTCATTGAGACTAAATTGTCGATACGCAATGGGTTTTGTTAGAGATGGGTAGATTCTGACATAATAAAGACATTTCCGACTTAATCCCCTCAGTTTCGCAGCCGCGAAACTCTCTATATCCTACCGTTGTCGTGTTCTTCCTTGTATTCCACCTTGCTACTTGCATCGGCCAAGTGGCTGCGAGAGCGAACGGTGTCTGAGTCGACAAAGTTCTTAGAGTGGAATGTCCGCGTTGTCTTGCTGCTGTTGCTGCTCTCGCGATACGAATCGGTACAAACTTACACGGCTTATCAGTGTACGCTGCTGTTATCTGTTCCGTGTCGCTCAACTGTAACGAACTTGAGCTGCGGACTCTCCAAGGAAAATGTCAAGTTACATTCCTTCTGAGATTTCTTCTCATTGCGTCAGTTGCACATGTTACATCTATATTGTGTTATCACACCCCTCGTATAGGTGTAGACTTATCGCTCCTGTCGGCATTGTACACGATTGATTGCAATTTTTTTTTTTTTTGCTGCGTTTCAATAGTAGTACAAAAGAAAGAATATCAAGAAAATTGAATTTTTTTCTAGTGATATCGATTACAATTCGATTAGCATATTATTTAATTTGAACTTGAAAACAAGAATATAATGAAGAATGTAAAAATAAAATAAAAATTTTGATATGTGATAGAAAGTTAAAAACGATTAAAAGTGGAACATAAAATTGAGCAGATTGTATTTGTTTTTGTTGCAAAAATTTGCTGGGGACAACATTGAAAAGTTTATAAGTTTGTAAAGTAAGATGCGAATAACAGTAGAGGATTATTCCTGTGTTAGTACGTAAAGCGGAAAGCTGATATCGTTAGGAAGTTAAAATATTTTACTTTATCACGATGTTTAAATATTCTGTGGACTTCACGTAAGACCAATATTGTTTTCGCAAATTATATACTGTATATAATCCCACACGGAAAGAAAGAAGAACTTTTCAAAGCTTGAATGTATCTTAGAAAAGAAATGTATTACGCGCACTAACAACAATGAAACTTTTGAGTTTATTCTGTAACAGTTTTATCTTATTCTTTCGCGAACAGTTTATCGCATAAAGAGCGCGTAATATTTGCGCTTGTCGAGTTTATTGCGTTTATGATTTCCATTATTGCGTAATAATAATAAAACAAAACAAAATAAAATTGAGACTAGAAGCGGATTGAAAAATAATGGACCGTAACGAATAAAGTCAAAGACAAGTATGTATCAGATATTTTCGTGTCACTAGTTATAATTAATCGATTTAATGACTTGTACACATTTATACGTTAGCGAAAAATGTTCCGCGAGTTAAGCATTATCCTTGCTTATTCCGTGCATTTCTGAAATTTACGATTATCGTGAGCAATATTGCGGATGATCCAGCTCGATTCATTAAAATTTGCCGCATCATTGCGTGCAACTCTGTCAATTTAACCAGATCACAATTATCAACATATTGCAATTATCGACATAAATTATCGTTGCAACGAGGAAAAAGGAATATTATGTATATTGCATATATGTATGAACATTTAAACTAGTAAACATTGGGGAAATTAAGAAATTATAAAAAGCAACTTTCTCTCTACATTAATTAAATATTTTGCGAATATCCGTTTAATCGTTAATCGCGCGGAAGGAAATTTTGACTCTGCCCCGTGTGTTATTTTAATGAAGTAACGGTCCGATGTTTACTCGTGTAATTGCAAGAAACGAAGTTGCTCACCTTTATTCGCCGATAGCTAGCAGGTGTGCGTAAAGTATACGACATATCGATCGCGCGAAATCTACTTGTGGAAAATGCAAAAGCGTACGTTGTGTTGGTCCATATACCTGAATACATGCGTATGGGATACGAAACTGTTTCCATTCCATTCGCCTTTCTATTGAAGCGTGAAAACGAGACTAGCTGGCAAGTCAACATTATTTATCGATTGCGCATCAAGTAAATGAAATTGAAGGCTTTAGTGCAACAACGCGAACACATTTTTCTCGATAAACGAATCACTTGCCACATATCTTGAACGAACAGTAGTCTATTGTGTAGATACAAAAAATATACCAACAACAAGTTAATAGATGTAAAAGGAGTAAAATGGATCAGTTTTGTAATAATCAGCATCTGTAAAAATATTAAAAATGACTAGTTTCTGTAATGATCAAAATACATTGCATAGAGGTAGAGAAACATGAGAATCGCACATATTTATTTTATTTATTATTTTACTGAAATAAAGAAATATATATAATCTTTTGAAATTTGATATTTTTGTAGAGCGCTTTATCAAACAGGCTATTATACAGAAGAGATTGTTGGCAGCGCGCGTTATAAAGGCACACACGCCATTTTTATCTCGATAAATGCAAATCGAATAACGGGAGCAAAGCCTAAAGCAGCAGTGCGAATAATAGGTATGAATACGTTCGTGAATAGAAAGGGCTCTAACGGCAGAACGGTGTCTGTCGAATTATTACTGAAAAGAACGAAAAGAATCCCCGCGAAGTAGCAAATGGAAGACAGAAATATCCGAGCCGAAGATGAGTTCGAGAGTCGTTTATTTTTTAATTATATCAAATTTAATATCGCCAAAGACGCTTTCGTTGATTATCTTGTCGTTTTTTTTTATCCTTGCTATCGATTGTGCATCATTGATAGTTTATCTGATTCTTCCATAATCTATATACCATTAATTGTCGATGTCATTTATAAAGAAGTGTACTCGTGAATAGATAATGAGCGCCAAAATGCATTGCTTTCTCAATTCAGGATGCGGAGAATAATAACACCGCATTCGGGCTGCTGGCAAATTTGATTGCAGTTTTTGAACTGCACTTTTCATTTTGAAAGGTGTCTTCATCAGTAAAACGCTCACGGCCGTATATTTTGAGAATAAATATATTGTACAAATATATAACAGTAAATATTTGCATTATCGCAATGTTTTTATTGCATATTATTAAAATATATATATTTTACAAATATTACATATTTAAAGTGTACTGTAAAGTATGAAGATATTGATAAATAACAAATCAAATTTTTTAATTAAAAATTTTTTTTAATGGTATTAAAATATATTATGTTTTGCTTTTATATATATAGAAAAGTATGTGTGTATTTAAGAGAATTATTTTTACAAATAATATCCTTAATTTCCTACTTTTTCAATTTTTGTGTCCTCTTTCGAATCTAGATTCTCAACATAAATTTTTTATATTTCATGCTTTTAAAAACTGTTATTATTAACGTATAATTCGTATGATACGATATCATGAGATTAAGCAAATTATATAGCTATTAATATATCGCTAATTGAAATGTCGCAAACAAGCTTTCGAATAATTAGCGTAATAGTAAATATAGTAAAACGATATAGTAAATGATTGATTTATTAAATCGCAATACTATTAAACAAATAAAATTAAATCCGTTTAACAATTTAGGTTTTTAGACCATCTCGCTAAACCGCTTAATGCCACATTAATTTTGTATTATTTGCTCGCGCATTCGCAAGGGGCCGATACATTAATTATTATCTGAAAATCAGACGGATGATGTTAACTGGTATGTGCTCTCTTTCAACGAAATTCGCGGTGAACAGCAAAGCCCGATCCCCAGCTTGCTGAGATCCAATTAATTTTTCCATTTCCGCCACTTCGACGCGTACGGGTTGCAAACAGATCCTTTTGAATTTTAATCATACGCGAATCATCCGTATATCAGAAGGGAAAACGGACTTTCAGCGGTAAAGGATTTATAATTAATTATTCGCAATTTGCGAGAAGTTAAGCTTATTACAAAAGAGCATGATCCGTACGAATTCACAGACATCTATTCGGCTTTGGCGTGATATGTAACGCGTCATCGATTCATCGGCGGGAACGGAATTGGCGCTCGCGATCGATCAATATCGGATTCGCGGACGAACGACTTCGTCCGTTTACGCGGTACAAATAAAATTCCCGGAAACGTGGCAGGATGCATCCGTACGCTTGATTGTTGGAGATATTGCGGGTAAGAGTAAATAAAACGTTGCAAACTCGGAAACGTATGAGTTTGAAACGCAGTCTGTGATTCCGTAGAGAGCTCTCTACCGTATTGGATCACTGATGGACACACAAAAGGAGTAATCGTCGAATTTAGAGATTAATTACTGTTTAATGTAGACATAGGATAAAGTCAAACTTCCTCTTTTAGCCTTCGCTTACATTTTACACACATGATATACCAGTAATTTACAAATCTTCCTCTATACGTAGTATCATTATACTGTTTATTCTAATTCTCCGAGTTCTGAGTTAAGATGCGAAGGTATTGTTTTCTTTGCATATATGTATGCGTCACTCCCGAAAACTTCTTCCACAGCTGAGATTTACTTACCGAGAAATTTACCAGTTAGAGTATGCCTAAAATAAAGTTTCGTCTTATCTTATCATAAATTTTACTTGATACATAGACGGCAAAACAACCGCGACAGCTTGCAAACTATCAAGTAGAACTTTTCTCCGGTTTGACTTTGTAACTTGCGTGTAGAGAGAGCGTAAATTCAGCCAGCGGCAAATTGAATTTTATAGTATTTTTATCCAGGACCGTATCTTTTCTCTCTTTACAGAGCTCTTCGAGTCGTCCGCATCCCTATATACGCGGTGGATGCAAGCTGCGATGCATCGCGCGGTAAGGGTGCATTACCAGAGGTCGAAGTCACGCATCGTTTTTCAGATGCGCATGGACGACTCGTGAGTCACGATTGGTCTTTCGAGTGCGTCATCAGACGCGCTCAAACGCTCGCAATCGTGCAGATCCTCCACGCTCTCGACGATGAAGAAGCAGTGCTTAAAAAAACTGGTTGGCCATCAGCGAGACAGGTTCTCGAAAACTCGCGATCGACAGGGATGAAAGGTTCGTTGCAATATTTGATCGTCGACGTCGGTCTCATCCCCTTTTCCTTTCCTTAAAACTCTTCAACCGTTGAATTTTATTGAGAGAAAAAATATTTGTTCTTAAAATAAGTTTGCGTTTTCTTTTTTCAATTATTTATTTCAAGTAAAGAAACAAGAAGATAGTTTTAATATATATATATAACAATTTAAAGATAAAGATTTTTATATATTATTACAATATAAAAACGACAGTAAATTTATGATAACCTGCTAAAATAATAAAATAAGTATAACATTGCATAGAAAATTCATATGCACCTACAATAATTAAACAAATATTAAATATTTCTATAGGCAAATTTATAAAATGATAAATATCATAAGATCTTTTATTTGAAAGGTTATTCAGAAACGTACAAAGTACGTGTGCCTCGAGCGAGACACGGGTGTCTCGTCTGGAGATTCAGCACCGTAGACACGTGGGGAAATAAGCGGTTAACCGATGACAATGGAACACAAACAGACAATCTTGCTGGCACCATCACTGAGCAACAGCAGCTGTTGGAGAGGCGGCACGTCCGAAGCTGCCTGGACAGGTCCAGGTCCAGGAGAACTGATACGAGCTACACTAATATTGCTGCTAAGTCTTGGCATTCTGTGCGCCAATCTTCTGGTGATATGCGTTATCAATAACAGACGATATAGCAAGTACATACATGCTCAAGTAAGTAGATCGTATTACTTGTGCAGTTAGATTTACACGTAACTTTTTAATAATAAATGGATTAAATTCAATTCTCTTGACAAGATTTGTGTCTTGTTGAATATGATTTAAAAGAAATTAACTTTTGCGTTTTTTTTTTATTGTAAAATAATAATAATTCTAGAAATACTACACCCAAAAAATAATCTCTTAAAATGTCGTTAGAAAATATATTACTAAAAGCATAAATTTTTCTGAGAATTTTATTTTAAGAATCGATAAAATTAAAGAGTATTCAGTAAAATCGGCATTTCGCTAAAAAGAAAATAACAAGAAATGATAACATTAATATTGTATTCATTTTGTGTGTGTCTTGTGAGGAGGATTACGATGAGTGAAATATTATTTATGTGAATATACCAAGATTTTGGTCAGCGCGATAATTCATAGCCTGTGATGGAAGGGTCCACGGGATTTTCTCCATTTCTCTCTTCTTGCTATGTAAATTAGTCTGAAATGGTTAGCTGCACGAAATACGGAACGGTCATGTTTCTGGATTCTAAATGAATACCGTCGAGTTGTAGAGACTAATGACGATGGTCGCAAAAAAATTAGACATTATTTGTGCGAATGTTTCATCTAAAGAGTATTTAGTAAAATCGGCATTTCGCTAAAAAGAAAATAACAAGAAATGATAACATTAATATTGTATTCATTTTGTGTGTGTCTTGTGAGGAGGATTACGATGAGTGAAATATTATTTATGTGAATATATATATACGAAGATTTTGGTCAGCGCGATAATTCATAGCCTGTGATGGAAGGGTCCACGGGATTTTCTCCATTTCACTTTTTAATAATAAATGGATTAAATTCAATTCTCTTGACAAGATTTGTGTCTTGTTGAATATGATTTAAAAGAAATTAACTTTTGCGTTTTTTTATTGTAAAATAATAATAATTCTAGAAATACTACACCCAAAAAATAATCTCTTAAAATGTCGTTAGAAAATATATTACTAAAAGCATAAATTTTTCTGAGAATTTTATTTTAAGAATCGATAAAATTAAAGAGTATTCAGTAAAATCGGCATTTCGCTAAAAAGAAAATAACAAGAAATGATAACATTAATATTGTATTCATTTTGTGTGTGTCTTGAGGAGGATTACGATGAGTGAAATATTATTTATGTGAATATACCTATTATATACAAATTATGTATATAATAGTGCATCATTTTGCCATATATATAGTCAAATAAAACAATCGACATTTGTTATTCTTGACTTTGATTACAAAAGTTTAATAGAAAATAAATATTACATAAACATAAAGTTGATAATGTATCGATTATGTAGCGATTCCTTTATATTTTACGCTGTAATAAATGTCCCCTTGATTATAATGTTGGAGATTACGATATCTCTTATAATGTTACGCGCATTAAAAAGCCGTTCAATAACCTCGCATATCTCAACAGCTTTTCTTTTCCACAAATCGAGGAATTTATAGGAAATCTTGGAATGGTGTTCGCGATGCTTGGCAGGAAATTATTATCGTTTGAAACTCACGGCTGCGCTTCCGGCAGCCGGCACTTCTTCCGCTATTTCCTCCACCAGTCGGTGGCTGCGACGTTATCGGAGTTCCTGGCGATAATCTTTACGCGTTGCACCTTTCCTCCTACCCCTTCCTCGTTCTCTACGCCATCTTCTGAGGTAACAGCCTGATTTGTGACCGTATATTTCTTCATTTCGCACGTGCTAAACTCCAAAGTGCGCCATTCCACCGGTAGATCCCGGATATCTTCGTATTTGCTTATCTAGACGAAATAGGAAATTGTCGTAATGTTCTCGAGAAGAGAATTAATAAACACAAAATTTTATGCAAATTTATTTTAGGATATATTTTTTTATACAATGAAAAACATATTTTCGTACTCTTTTGTAGAAATGTTGAGATAATTACATAAGTTTTAGTAATTGAATAACAAAATTTAGAAAGAGGTTTAATGAGAAAATTATAACAGAAATTGCCGCATTAAACAGAAATATAGTGTAGTCTATCTTATCTATTATAATTTTGTTTACATTATACTAATTTCTTGAAAATTGATTAATTAACATGAATTACATGTCTAATAAACATGAAACAAATATTTATTAATCCATTTGTGTTGATAAAATAGATAAAACAGAAGACCAACAGATTTACAATAGCACTGTTGAAACTGATTGAAACATAAAAATATATCATCGTTACTTAATATGAAAAACAGCGATGTCACTTCTACCTGGATATCGTAAGTTACAGTCGTATCTGTAACAATAAATTACTTTTGCCGCATTTTCGCCGATATGACTCTAACTACATATAACATAAATATGTATGTCGCTTTATATCGAAATACCTTTTCCATATCTAACATGTCAATATCTTTCGATGTTTCCGCTTTGCATCTAGAGACTTGCATAATGTGCATGCTATCAAGATTCTTACGCTACGTCGCTTTCGTTAGTTATATACGTTGTAACTGCATATAAATGTAGTGTAAATAAGATATAGTTATCAACTCAAATGGGAGGAGTAAAGAAATGAGGCAATTTTCATGCAAATTGCAATCATAACGTTGAATGGAACAAGTCGATCAAGCATCTTAAAATAGGTAAAATACCATTTATAAAAAAATAATTATTTTTTAGAGAAAAGACTCCCTTTTTGAAAAATATTATAAACAAATTTTAAAAATTATAGTGGAGCAATAATATATGAATATAACACATGGAATATAATGTGTGTATAATGTTATATAATACTAGAAAATAAAAGCGAGGTAAACACATTTTTTAATCAAGACTTTTATATATATTATACAATTTGTGAAATTTCTTTTACAAAATAAAAAGAATAGATGCTTTAAAACTAATGAGAAGACAGTTTATTCAAAGTGTATATTAATAAATAGCTTCATTTTTAAAACATTTCTCGAAACTATTTTAATTAGAAGCATTGTATGTTTGAGAAGCAATAAGATGGTAAGTGATTAAAAAGAATAAAAAATGACGCGGTAGTAAGTAGAAACTAAGCAAACAGAATTAATAAACGCGAGGAAAACAAGTTTCCATGTAGCTGAAAATAGGTCGCAAATTTGGTGAAAATGTGGTGCAATTAATAAGATCAAGCTGAGAGGAAGCAGATGGCAGAAAATTAATAAACAGACGCGGGAAGCAGATGTTGGATAATTAGAAAAAATTCTTGGTATAATTAAAGAAGCAAAATGAACATAATATTATGTAAATAATATATGTTTGTAAAACATGTATAAAATAATGGTCTTAATAGATATCTTAATCATCTTTATAGATATTTTTTATACATAAAAAAAATTTTCTCAATTTTTAATGAAATATATCTCAAATCATTTATATCATTGAAATATATATGTATAATAATATAAAGAAAAATAATATAAAATATAATTTTTTTAATGCATTGGTAAATATTCCGATATTGATAAGAGATACTTTTAAAGATTGCGTATATCATGTACAATGGAAATGTGTAACAGCTGTAGATCAGATTCGATTTCTTATTGCGAACAATCCTATAAAACTTTATGAGAACTATCGAAATCCGAAAGTGAGATATCGGCATTTGCACAACAGGAATTTCATAAAACTATAACGATAATATTCCTACGTACGAACAGCCCCATCTCGAAAACACACTGGTGTGCATTTCTTATTTCCAGTCTTTTGAAACGTATATCTCTCAAATGGAATGGCGGAGGGTTAACGTCTCTAGTTCGTAAGCGAATTGTTTCGTGCTCTCGAATCGTTCTCACGTACGATACAGCATCCTATATGCACTGCTACATCCCGACCTCTTTGCCATGTTTTTCATATTTAATATATGATATAATATATCCTTGAAGTCTCTTGAGAATTTCTAAAGTTCTCTCCGTCTTAAAAGAGACAAATTATTGTAAATACGTGGTTATAGCCGCATGGTTATCATCATTTATTAACAATACTCGATAAACGAGAGGAAGTACCTGATCCAGGCAACACCACAAGTGTTGCACAAAGAGAAGCTCGTGCAAATCTATCAACTCTGTAGAGCGCAACGATAGTGCTGATGGTGTGCTACGTCACTAGCAAGCGAGAACGGGAACGTGCAAACAACTAAAGTTTCAAACGTGTAAAACTTTACGTGATCGGCGAATAAAGGCGATACAACTAACAGCGTGCTCGCAGTTGCAGTCCCGCATCCTTTTCGTCGAATTGATGGCAGAAATTGTGAATCGAACTAAATCGAATTTATAAACGCGACCAACTAATAGCTTATATATTACCTCTGCAACGATTTGCATTCAATATTAATAGTATTTAATATTCCATTACGGTCGCAAGTGATTTATGATTAATTCGTTCAATTTGAACGACAGACGAAAGAGTATCTATTCGTGACTAACATGCAACAATGTCCGAGTTATTAAATGAAATGTCGCATTTATATCGATATTTAATTGCGTCGGTTGATGTGTTTTGTAACACATTATTGTTCGCAGTGTTGGACTTTTTAACAAACGGTAGTAAATACACACAGCGACAACACGTTACATTTATCTATATTGTGGAAAATGTTTTAGCTCTGCCATGATTTTATTCGAGAAATATCAACGTTTTTAGAATTAATGCTATAAAAAGTATAAAGCGACTGTTTTAATCACCACTTTTAATCCTATAATTAATACTTGCCATTAAATGGATGATTAACACAAACTTGATTTTTGTAACTTTTTATAATTATCGGAAATATATGAGCAATTATGTCCATACATTATTATTTGTTACGATATTCTTAATTCTAAAATGTTAAAAATTATTAATTATTCCATGGCAGAAAGTCCAGAATTTTATAATATAACAATATTTTTCTTACCAAATATGTCCAAAAATAACATGTAAACATAAGCTGTTAATTAACATAATGTATTTTAGCTGCCAATTTTTTTACTATTGCGGCTAATATTAATTGTTGTGCTTCAATTCCTGAAACTCGACAGCTTGTTACTGTACTTCGGAAATAGTCCATAGTTACACAATTGATTGAACAAATCGATTACAGCGCATTGTTCCATTGGAAAAAAAAACATAAAAATGATACGCGAATCGCTATTCCAAGATAGATCGTCTCTAGCCACTCGATATTCATAGAATCTATTCTTAGCGGCAACAAATCTCTCATGTCTACGTGATAACCCCGGGATACAGACGGCTACGACGGGTTTGTGTATTCAGATATCCGTTCAAAACCAAACCGTAAACTTCGATAAACTAACACACTGTTTGTTCTTGCTCAACCATGCACCAAGATGAGATCACTGGAGACAATCGTTATAATGTTATGATATTATAATGTTACAATTGTTAGCTCTGTGTTCTCATGATACACATTTAAAGTACCATTATATCTCCTAAATTTCGAACCCTTTTTGAATAAAATAAAAGTGATATTTTTATGTGCTTCGTATATTATTCTTAAAACATTTTCCATGGTATAAATAAAAAACGAACACTTTGTTTTAAAGACTGTCATAGAAAGTTTGTATTGCTTAAATATATCAGAAAAAAAAATCCAATTCTTTTTCTTCAAAATATTATCTCTAGAATGAACGATAGAACTCTGTAACAAGTTCGTTCTCTAATTATAGCTTCATAAAACGAACTTTATACTCTCTATTGGTAAATTCCCGGGCGCTCGCTATCTGTATTTAGCTGCATAATGTCATTACTTGTCCGCAGAACGAACTACGATGTTGTCGAAGCTACGACGTTACTGCTGTTCGTTCCTTCGTGGCAACATTTTCTTTTTTTTTCACGACATAAACCAACCTGAAAAATTTTTGCACCGCTGCGGCAGTAATGCAATTGCAAATTTAATATTCTACAAATCCCTCCGCATATACGCTCCAACCGCGCATTGCCGTACCAATGCTCGTTTCATTTTATTGGCGATGAATGTGGAAGAATTATTATATATCGCGTTGATAGAAATTATCGTGAATTTCTATGAGAGATACGGCACGTTTCATGCGCGTGATACGGCGTCAGTTACATGCGTGCACAGTAACCCCATGCAAAAGAAATAAATCTGAAATTTATCGTCTTCGAGCAAATATTATCGCTGCCTGATTGTTAATTTTATTTTTCCGTTGCTCCTGTTAACATCGTGAAATTTTTTACAATTGATCGCTCGCGTTCGCGCGAGTTTTAGCGGCACCGAATGTGCCAACCGAAATCAAGCATTCTCCGGATGCGCGCTCGCAATCAGCCCAAGATCGTTCCGAGGCAAATGCAATTTCGCGAAACTCCTAGCGCTCGTCGTTCTTTCGACAGCGCATCTCACAAATAAAGATATCGAACTTGTTATACCGACGCAATTATTCCGGTCGTGGCCGAATAAAAGTTAGTCGTGATGTTTCATTAAAGTCCCCGCTATAGAGCAACGATGACGACGACGACAGTTTGTCACAATGGGTTAAGGTTGCTTGGGGGCGAGATCGGGTAAGTTAGTTTGTGGCGAAAATATTCGGTTAAGGTCTCCCGGGAGTGTTTCGAGGATGGCTCGAAATGAGGCCAGGCCGATCCTGGCCTCTTCAGATTATCAGAGCTTTCTCTTGGCAGTACGCCAACAGTCACCATGGCGACCATCTTAAACTATACTTGGTACACCTTCGCATTACCGTGACCATGTCTTTATGGATACACTGACATCACCAATTCATAGAATCACACCGTCGCTTTCAGCAGCTCGCGATGTTTGGGACCGTTTTCTTTCCTAAAGATCGAATCATATACGTCTCTCTCACTCTCTCTCTCTCTCTCCCTCTGTCTCTTTACGTAGCCGCGACAATGAAGCACGCTCGTGTACGTTATCATCGCTTATCGTTTAAGTCGTGTTTTTAGCATAATCTCACGAATGTTTATGGATATACAATAAATAATATTTGCCAAGCACGCGGACTTTCCCTCGTCTCGCCGAGCTTCTACCAAATAGAACATGTCTGGAATCACGATAGTGTATATATCTTGTTATATCCTACCTGTCTCGCTTCAAAGCAGCCCGACGTATCGAGCCGGACGTATCGGGCCCGAAAATGACAACTGATAGAGTTGATATATACAATAGATAGATATGAAATTGTCTTTCTCTAATATAAAATTGAACGTATATGCTATATGTAAACGGATATGCATTGTAGCGTATGAAATTTTTTTGTGAAAAAATGTATGCACTCTTTTTTCTTCCTATCAACTTTAACAAAATCAAGAGAGAAAAAGACAAATTTAGAGAACAATTTTTATATATTTGTCTCGACAAACTTATATATGAATAATTCTCAATAAATGAATTCTATTAATAATTTTTTATTTATCTGCGGTTTTGTTTTCAATAAATAAAGAAAAATTTTATATGCAGAAAAAATCTAAATTGATCAAATGTAAAAATCTTTCTTGCACTGGTTCTATTTCAATATAACTTATTATTTAGTAGGTACATGAAAAAGATAGTATATATGTTCGAAATTTCTATTTAATTTATAGTTTGATTCATATTTTTCTATTTGTTTACATTGTATTTTCAAAATTATTAAACAATCCAATTGTTTATAAAAAATAATATTTCGTTAAAAGAGAAGATGATATATTTATGTATTCTAAATTTCTTAGATAATATAATGTACGTTAATTCGTAATCGGAATTGTGATTCCTCTGCCACAATCGTAGAGGTCGGTTTCAATTGGATAGGAGAGTTGACTATGTGCTAACCGTCAATTTGCTCACTTGTGGCGTCTCACAGCTTGTTTCGCGTAAAGCATATACGTTTGGAAAACGAATTAGCGACAGTACGTTCGAAGACCGGGTTATGAGAAACTGACCCAGTACGCGCCCTGTAATCGATACATTGTTACCTATACATTGGTTATCAAGTAGCTTATGCAATATGAAGAAATAAACTATGTTTATAATTGTTAAATAATCACATTTTCTCAAGAGTTCCTTATATCCAATCTTTGATAAAAAGTCATCTTTTGATACATATAAAAGGAATTTTTCTCTTTATTTATTAAAACAAAAGATAATTTATTATTATATCCAATTAAAATATATTCTAGTAATAGAAATTTATATATAATTTATATTTGATTTTACCTTAATTATTTTATTACATTCTCAAGTTTTTTCAAGTTTTTCACAGAAACGGTAGAGTTATTATTAACGTTTCAGAAAATCTACGAGATTAAATTCAACAAACTGACTGTATTCTGCCGTTGATGATAATGTCTGTTATTAATTTCTGGGATCTGCGTGAAATCATGTTCCACTGATTTCGCTGCAATTAACATGCGTTAATTTAATTTTGCCTATAGTATCAACATGCATGCAGAATTTAAAAAAAAAACGACATCACATTGTTTAATCGCAGGTTAAAATTCGCAGGCAGATGCAACGGTGCGAAAGCAACATTACGTCATGATGAATGCGGTCCTTTTTTATTCGAGCGCGACATTTAATTACAGTACGGGGACTCGGCAAACACAAACTTTATACAGTTCACAAACGATTCCTCATACAATTAATTGTGTGTAATATTTACACGAAAAGTGCAAATGTGTGATTGGTAATACTACAATGTTAATTAAATTTATGCCTCAGTCGATAATTAATTAGATGATGAAATTCTACCTCTGCCTGCACTCAAATCGGAGCAGTAACAGCCTAGGCAAATTCTAATGGAAGCAAAATTATACCGCAAAGCATTGTGATATCAGCGGTAGACCGCAAGCTCCCGTTCGTCATGTAACCGCAAAATCCTGATTATTTTGATAAATTCGTGCAGAGAAAGGACATACGCCTCTCTAGTATAAAATAATCAATCAATAAAGTAATCAACTCCAAAATTATTATCAGAAAAAATGTAGTATTATATATATCATATAGCATTACACGCATTAATAATATTTAAAAACATAGTAATTTATGTAGCCTCTATTTTTCTTATTTTCTTTGCAACAAATCAAAAGAAAAAATGTTTAACTAATTTATAAAATAAATCTATAAAGAAAACATAATGAGAAATGTGTGTTTTTTTATGCTGACTAGTATACAGTTGGTTTTCTCGATATTCTCTTGACCCATCAAAACTTGTCGTCTAACAACGACTTCTCATAGCTTAACTCGTCGACCTATGCACTTTTCCAGGAAGTTATAAGTTATTTTATCTGAAAAGACTGAGAGAACGACACCCAAAGAATCTCGTTTGTTCTTTCGGAAACTTTTACTGTTCCAGGCACTTCTTAGGGGCGCTTTAACTCAACAGAGCGCTGTTATCCTCGTCTGTATGGCAATCGACCGTTACGTTTGCATGCTACACCCTCATCGCTATCATAAGCACTCTTCTAAAAGGGTGAGTTTACTGTCTATTCACTCATCAACTCTATTAAACTAACATAATATCTGTTACACATTTACCTTTCGATAATACCTTTTTATATTAAGATAAATTTTTTTAGATATTTCAATATATAAATATTTTAATATAAGTTACTTATGTTTTGAATTATCAGTTTTTTATATTTAATAATAAATTTTAATTTTTA